TGTGTGTGTGTGTGTGTGTGTGTGTGTGTGTGTGTGTGTGTGTGTGTATGTATATATTACCAGAGAGAAATAAATAAATAAATATATATATATATTACCAGAGAGAAATCATCTTTATTAAGTGAATCTGTGTGCTAACAATATTAAGAACTATGAAATAATTGCAGATACTCATTGTTGCTTGTATGGAAAAAAGTCTGGTCTCGAAAAATTTGCCATGCAGTGTGAGACTTAGGATATGTCTACACTAGTACTTTTGACAGAATAATTTATGTTGCTCAGGGGTGTGAAAAAACACCCCTCTGAGCAACGTAAGTTATACTGACAGAAGCGCTGATGTGGACAACGCTATGTCAGCAGGAGACGCTCTCCTGCCAACATAGCTACCACCACTTCTTGAAGGTGGTTTAATTATGTTGCTGGGAGAGGTCTCCCGTCTGGGTAGAGTGGCTTAACATGAGCAATCTTACAGCAGCTGTGCCACTGTAAGCTCGCTAGCATAGACATAGCCTAAATAAACACAATCTACTTAATGAGGGTAATTCGTGACAATTTACCTAGGGATGTGATGGATTTTCCATCCCTTTACATCTTTAAATCAAGATTGGATGTTTTTCTGAATGATGTGCTCTAGCTCAACCTGAAGTTATGGACTTGAGGCAGGAATTGCATGGTGACATTCTATCCCCTGTGTTGAAGGTTGGACTAGATGATCGTAATGGTTCCTTTTAGCCTTAAAATCTATGAAAAAAAATATAATTTCATTTTCAAAGTACCCAAAGATGGTATTTTGTACTAAATTAATGATCTTACCATTTTTATCTGTTGAACCACAGTAACACAGCTTTAAAAGACTCAGCATTAACTCTGAGTACATTTTTGTCACCAATCCCCCAAAACTAAATTTCTAAATTAGTAGTTTAGTTGCCACAAAAATAAAGTTGTGTGCTAAGGCAGATTTTTGTTGTCAGATTTATGCTTGATTCCATTCTTTGTTACAACTCCATAAAAAGGGATTCATTATAGCAATGCCTTCAAACCTGAAAGATTACATGTTCAGCAGAAATACAAAAAATGTAATTTTTCTTCTTTTCTGCTGCTTTATGATGTGTAATGGCAGCCTTAAACTTTTTTTCCAGTTATACATCTCAATCTCTCCAAAGACTTTGCCAAGATCCTACATCAAAGAGAGGGAAATGGATATTTATATTAGATTATGTGGGTCTCTTGGGAAAGTCTTTTTACATCCTCAAGGAGAGTAGAAAAAGGCATTTTTTTGTTTTGATTTTTCACAGTTTCCCTTAACACTGCATATGTGTTTGTAAATATTGTATCTGTTTGTGAATTATACTGTAAGTGTTCGTTTTTGTGCACATAACATGTTTTGTGTTTGAGGATGTTCATTCAGTAAATGGAACAAAACAAAGCAGCCTTGAAAAACTAGTGCCAAGTTGGTATTGAACTTGTTCGTCAGTGCAGAAACTGAAACGTGATGTTTTGTATTATAGGTCCAAAAACAGTGGAGATCCATTTTATAATTTGCAAGAACAAACTTCTGAAGCTGTGGAAAAATATGGTATGTCTGCTGTATTTTCATGTGTTGTATATGCAACTTGTCGCCAAATGTCTCTTGAGTTGTAGTTGTTACCTTAACAAAACTTGTCTATAAAAATGAGAAGTTGTAACAAAAACTCCATTTAGGGGAAGTACTGAGACATATTCTTTTATTTTCAAACATTTAAGTTGTAATATCTCTTCCCTTATGATACACAGTTCTGACAGTTGGCAGTCACTTGACATTCAGGGATTCAGTAAATGAAGCACAAAATGATGTAGCCTTGATGAACCCCCTTTAAAGTTGTTTAACAAACCTAACATATTGCTGTTACTATATACCTGTACTTATGTGGAATGAATCAGAATTGAGAAAACTTTTAATTTTTATCTAACTGCTGAACACATTTGCAAAATTTCTAGACGTTTGAAACTTCAGTTGCTAATTTAAAAGTACAAAATAAGATGTACAACAGCATTCAGTGCAAAAACCGCTATTAACATAGCATTAAGATTACAAATTGAAACATCAGAAAATGCAGAAATTAAGGTTCTAATAGTAATATTAATGTGGTTGTATTGCACACGGTGTCTATTTTGTTCATACTTTTAACAGTGTAACCTAGAATTGAAAATATTACATATGTACAGTGTAGCAAAATTAATGTGTTAATTTTTAAACTTTTAAAATATCTTGCAACCTTTAAACTTAATGGGGAAAAAATATGGGTAAGAGAAGAAAAAACAGTGTTCAAAACAGTTTCATAACTAGCTAGGTTTTCAGTTGCACTTCTACGTAGATACAAAAAAAATAGCTGTAGAATTCTAAAATTTCCAAGTGCAGTAACCAGTAATTGACTGAAAACCTTTTTGAACTGCACATGCCCGAAGTGATTTTTTTAATCAGTTACATTTTTTTCTAGTTTACTGAGTGACTGTCCATTAATAAAGACTAACATTATGGAATGGGAATGCTGGAGTTTGAAACTTCAGCCACTTTTGAATAGCGTACAGAATGTTTTTTTGAAACAGTTTAAATGTGGGAAGAGGTGGTGTTCCTAATTAAAGAACTGCTGAATGTATCTGGGGGGAGGTGCGTGGGGTTTTTTTTTTTTTTAAATGCACCCCCCACCCCCCAAAGTTTCTGTTGTGATAAAGTATTGAGAGGATTGGCCCAGAAGGAAAGAGTTCTTAACTCTTTAAAAACGATGTAAAACTGTTGAGGGGGGTGAGCTTTATAATTAAAGTTGAGTTACAACCTTAACTATAGATTTTGCTTTTGTGAAGGCTGTAACTCTTTGCAAGAGCTGTGATGTTTCCTTTCCATAATACAGTTGGTTTTGGGAGACTTTAGAAATTGGTCCTCTGCTCTGTCAAGCAGGTAGCAGCTAGTGACTGCTCAGTCATTTTTGTACCCACAACACCTCTGAGACCACCCACCTGCTTCTTGTTCTCCAGAAAATTGCTCTTCAGTTGCAAAAAGTTTTGTGGATGGTGACCGCTCCTGTTGAAATCTAGGCCACTACTTTTATGCTGACTTTTCTCCTGCTGGCCACTCTGCTCTGAATGATGTAACTCTTTGCCATGGTTGGGTTTTTTTTAACATAGTCCCTGAAACTGTACTAGACAATTTAGGCACTTCATAAAATAAGGGCATGTTCCTTACCCCATTTTAGAACTTGCAATCTAATTTTAGATGTGGGGAACACCAAGAAGGATAGTGATTACAGGAACATAATCAAATGGTTATTCCGTTTTAGTATCTGCACATCTTAATTGTTCCAGTAAGTTGGGGGTGGGGGTGGGGGTGGGGAAGAGAGAGCAAGAGCACAATCACATCCTTTAGGTAACATGGAGGAAGTTTGTTTTTAGGAGCGATCAGGGGATGGTGAGGGTTGGTGAACAGACACTGGGAAGGTAGTCTGCATAAGAAGCAACATGGAAGAAGATAGGAGTGTGAGAAGGAAACTAATGAGGGGATCACAGGTGGAGAAGAGGCTTGATGGAACAAAAGGTAAAACGTGAAGGCTGAAGTGGAACTGTGTACTATCTTCATTGCAAAGACAGGAACTTTAAATTTGATACACAGGGCAAGGGGAGCCATTGGAAGAATTTAAAAGGGAGTGATATGGTCTAACAGCTGATATGCAAGGTAATTTCAGCAGCAGCTGTGGGTATCAAAGACTGGAAGGAATTTACCGTGATGGAGATGATTAAGATATAGACAAGTTATTTTGCTGTTGCAAAAGACAAAAAGGAATGGATTCTTTTTTATGATGAGGAGGAAAATGGTGCAAGATTTGGCTTTGGCCCAAGTGAGAGATGGAGTTAAAATGACCCCCAGATTTTATCACTTTATGATGGATACTCATGTTGACAGTAATGAACAGAGGTAGTGGGCGGGGTATAGGAGGAAAAATAAATTGCTTTTGTTCATGCTGAACCTAAGGTAAAAGCAACCTATCCAAAAGGAAACCTAGGAGAGAGTCTCAAATGCAAGGCTGGACGTACCTCATGTAGAGAAATAAATCAGGGTTGCATCCCTGATCATCTTGGCTGATAGCCACTGATGGACCTATCCTACATGAACTTATCTAATTCTTTTTTGAACCCAGTTATAATTTTGGCCTTCACAACATCTCCTGGCAATGAGTTCCATAGGTGGACTGTATATTAGCTACCTTCCAATCATCTGGTATAGAGGCTTATTTAAGCAATAGGAAACATACCATAGTTAGTAGTTCTGCAGTTTCATATTTAAGTTCTTGCAGAACTCTTGGTTGAAACCATCTGGTCCTGGTGACTTATTACTAGTTTGTTCCAAAACCTCCTCCATTGACATCTAAATCTGGGACAGTTCCTCAGAGTTGTCACCTAAAAATGGTAGCTCAGGTGTGAGAATCGTCCTCATGTCCAGTGGAGTGAAGACTGATACAAAGAATTTATTTAGCTAATCTGAAATGGCCTAATCTTCTTTGAATGCTCCTTTAACACCTCGATGGTCCAGTGGCCCCACTAATTGTTTAGCAGGTTTCCTGCTTCTAATGTACTTTTTTTATTAATTATTATTATTTTTTTATTTATTGACTTATTTATTGCTGTTCGTTTTTGAGTCTTTTGCTAGTTGCTCTTCAAATTCTTTTTTGGCCTGCCTAATTATATTTTTAAACTTGACTTGCCAGATTTTGTGCTCCTTTCTATTTTCCTCACTAGCATTTGACTTCCAATTTTTAAAGGATGCCTTTTTACTTCTTACAGCTTCTTTTACTTTATCATTGTTATTTGCCATAGTGGCACTGTTTTGATCCTCTTACGATGACGGAAATGTCATTTCACTAGTTTGATATTGGTATTAGTAATATTTGCACTTTGCCCTTCTCATCTGTTGATCTCAAACTGCATTACAAAGGTAGTAAGTATCATTACTGCATTTTACAGGTGGAGAATTTGAAGCCCAATAGTGAAATGAGTTGTCCTAGTGAGTCAGTGGCAGAGCTGGGAAACTTCAAAAAGTTTGAAGCCTTTAAGGATCATAATGAGCTGTGGTATACTTCAGCGAAGAGAGTCGGTGGCTGTTGCTAATGCTTGTCAACATTAGCTCCCTTCGGCAAGGGTCCTTGTGACCTGTTCAGCTGAAAAAGGGGGGCTTCGCTGGGTGACATGTATCGAGCCTTCACGTGCACTCCCTGATTATTCACCAAATAAGTGTGTGGTTTGGCCATTAGCAGATGTGGTAGTCAGCTGCAGAATGCTGACGCCTTTTTTTACCTCAATAGGCCATTTACCTTTGTTCGTTTGTATGTGAAGATAGTGCTAGTTAGAGCCCTACAGTCTGTGCAGGTCAGAGTGAAAGCTCACTGAAGGAAACTTCCTAGCTATTGCACAGTGCTGGACTTGTGTGGCCACTGGCTGTTAACTGATCACTATTTTTAGAAGAAACTAAAATCAAAAAAAAATTTTTTTCACTCACTAAATGCAGCAGTAGCATATACACATGTTTAAACAAAAGGCAGTGCTTGTCTTGAATGAATCCTTCTGCACTAAGAGATCAACTTATCATATATACTCGATCATAAGCCGGTTCATTTCTAAGCCAACTCCCCCAAGATGGATAAGTAAAAATGGAAAATTTTTATGACCCGTTCATAAGCCGACCCTATAATTCAAGGGTCAGCAAACTTTGGCTCCCGGGCCATCAGGATAAGCTGCTGGCGGGCCGAGATGGTTTGTTTACCTGAAGCAGCCGTAGGCACGGAGGTTAACCTAACTAAACAAAGTGTCCCAGCGCACCAGCTGCTTACCCTGACGGGCCGAGACAGCAACTGGTAGGGAAACTTTTTGGGGGGGAGAAGCTGGGGGTCAGGGGAGTAACCCCTGTGACCATCTCCCACATGACCCCATCCCTAGCCCGGGACCCACACACTCTCTCTATCCCATCCCTTCCCACTTTATCTGGGGAGGGCTAGGGGAGGATCTCTCTGGCCTGGCTGGAGCTGCTTCGGCAGGCTGGGCAGCGCGCAGCCTGCTCCGGCGGGCCAGACCAGGCGGCGCAGCCGCAGCCTGCTCCGGTGGGCTGGGCAGCACAGCCACAGCCTGCTCTGGGGGGTGGAGATGAGCAGCACGGCTGCAGCCTGCCAGCCCCAGAGCTGCAGCTGCTTCCGAGGCTGAGGGGAGAGCAGCGTGGCCAGAAGCGGAGAGACTCTGGCCCCTCCTCTTCCCTTCTGTCTCTTCTGACTGTGCTGCCTCTCCTTGCTCCCTCTGTTGGGGGGAGGGACTGTGTCCCACCTCTCCCTCTCTATACACGTTCATAAGCCGACCCCCTTCTCTGGTGCTTCCCTTTTTTACTAAAAAAAATTCAGCTTATGAACGAGTATATACGGTAGGTAAATTATTGCTTTTTGTGAGCTGACTCCATCACAGGATATAGGATTCACATTTTTTTCTATTCCATACTCCTATCCAATCCTGCTAGGAGTGTGGGAGTGGGATGAAGGAGGAGAGAATGGGGTGATTTTAAGTGTTGAGGATTGTTTTTTACCCATTAATTTTAGTTTAGGACAGATAATAGAAATAGGTAAGAGACTAACTGGTTCCTTTTCAGACATGGAAGTAATCAGCTGGGGTGGTCCCAGGGCGTTTTGGGCACGAGTATTGCTGAGTTATCATTGGCTGCCACCTGCCTGACAGAGTAGAGGACCAACCCTACAATTTATGCCAGTGGAGACAGATCACAGGAAACAATTGACAGGTAAAATAATTGTTTTTTTTAAATGGAAGGAGAAGACTAAAAAATCTTTAAAATATAAATGGGGCTGACACTCTAACGAGATGTCCAAACACTGTAAAGTTTATTGCTCCTGTCAAATATCTGACCAGTTTCATGCATGGACTTTGATCATTCTGCTTATTTTTGGATGAAAAACATAGCAAAAAAATAAGCTATATGGAAGTTCCTTGAAACCCAACAATCTTTCTAGAAACAATTTAAAATTGAGTTATATTAAGGAAACATATTATCAAATATAGTAGTATACTGAGAACTGAACTGTAATTCATGTTTATGTAATGTTTCCAAATCTTTGAGTGTTCATTATATTGAAATGAAGTATCTTCCATTGGTCAGTTAGGTTTGTGTGTTTGTTTTTACTGCGTTAACAAACTTCAGGGTTAGTATTAAAGTTCACTTATATGGACCAGTTCCATCTGTTATGGTGAATTAAAGTAGAAATCATAGCTGGTCTTGAATGTCCCTATAATTCTTTTTGGCAGCATAGTCTTAAGTTTATCATCTAAAACTATTTTTTAGCATCTGTTAATTATTTTACCTCTTTATGTTGTGTTTATTTAGTGTACTGGCTGGAAATGTTAACTTTTAAGGACTTTTAACTGTTTTTTTTTATTTATTTAGAATTGTTAAGCCTAGGTATAGTCCAACTTAACGACTGGTGTGACAACCTGTTTTTAATCAGTGACTCAAAACTGTGATCACCCCGATGTCACCGAATGGCCACAACTTGTAAAAGGTAAACATAAAAAGATTTAATGGTATTTTTGTGAATTAACTAAATATTATCATTAGTGTAATACTTAGTTTAAAGAATAGTTGATTCATATGACTTTGAAGGTAATTGTATAAATGGAATTACAAGTAGCTTTTGAAAGGACAGTGTGACGGTTAGTCGAGACCTAACCTTTGACCTACACTTTTTCTTGTATTGATGTGAAAGACCATGTAATTCTCCCCTATGCTGCCTTAAATGTCAGCATCCTAGGACTCATGTCCACCCTTCAACAGCAAACCACTGTATGTCAAAGATCTAAGGAAAGCATTGGTAAGAAGCAGATCACAATTTCAAGCCTCCAACTACTGTTATAACAGTATTAAAAAAAAATGTAATGATAAAAAAATATCTTGCCAGCATCTTATTAAAATATGCATTTAATTAGTGAGTATTTGCTAAAAACATTCGTCCAGGAAACTTGATGATACTGAAATTCAGTAGACTTGCATACCTTTACTTTTCTCTCCTAGGGAGTTACAGTGGAGGTAAAAGGAATGGCTTGCAGAATGGAGAAGTTGCTCCCAGTGTTGTTGGAAGTGAGCCATCATTTGAATTTGCTAGCTCATGCTGCAGTATTCAGATTAGTTGGTGTCTTGTGATCACAGTTTCTGCCATCTAATTCAAGTTTGAAAATTGTAAGAGCATTTGCTCTGGGGTCTTGTTAAAACAGTTATTGTAAAGTAACTTAAAACTCTTCTGTTCAGATTTTTAAACAAATGGTGTTGAAAGAAAACATTTTCAGCATGTTATTTAATGTATTCTTAGCAATTTAAGTATAATGTAATTGTGTCTTCAGTATATTACATATTTAGAAAAGTAGTACTATATTTTGTTAATTCTATTTGATATTAATAAATAGCTGCTCATCAAACTAGTGAACTTCCGGTCCTGTAATAAAATTGATTTCCCACACTGTTTTAATTAGTGTTATAAGCTTAGCTTGAATTTTTTTAAACTTGATATGATTCTTACATCCTTTATTTTTTTAAAATATGTCCTGTCCTTTTTTATCTGTGAGGTTTAATGAGAAAATTAATAATTCACTAAATCATATTGTAAACCGGACCACTGGAAACCTAGGAAAAAATACTTATAGGGATTTTGCACTTTGTATCTACGGAAACAGTTTTGTGAGATCCTGTACTTGTTCTGAAGTTGCTTGATTTTTTCCATAAACATAAAGGTCTCTATTAGTTTAAAAATAAACAAACTGGTCAGCCTGTAGGACAGCTTGGAGTTGGGTGCCTACTCTCTAGTGATGTCACCTCTCTGGAAGACCAGATGGGATGAATATAGATTATAGGGATATACTAGATATACTCTACAGCAAATTGGTGCCAAAGACTGGTAGCTACATCCTATTGTTTTATTTTTCTTGTTGTTTGCCTGGTGTCTGCTTTCTTCTGTTTCCCTGCTCATTTTGAATGTGTTGCTGCATTATGTTGTATTGGAAACTGCTGATATTCTTCAATTCCCCTAATACCAGCAACTATTTTTTGTCTGCCCATCAGTTTATGAAAATATAGGGGTGAGTGGAACTGGCACACTATAGTGTGTGTGTAATTTCAATTTAATTCAGCTAGCATATGGATATTGACAACATTGCAGCTTTTAAGGTGACATTCAGAAAGGATCTTGAGGCTCTTTTCTAGAAAGCTCCTGGAGGTTCAGTGTTACAAAGGCAACTTCCTAGTCTCCTACTCCCAATGAACAAGCAAGTTGTGTTTGTCATTGCAGTGTAGCTATACCCTTAGCCATTCTGTAAATGAGATAGTGGAGAGGGATTAAGCTACACACAGCTGTTGCTTGAAAATTCAAGAGCAGCAATGGATTAATATAAAACATCCGACTAAACCCTATTGGAAAAGATCAAACAATCCCTGCCCATTCCTCTAGATGCTACAGTTCTCCCAGTCAAGTTCACTTGTGTCTTGTTTGGACTGAGTTTTAGTCAGTGACTTTCATGCAGGTTCTGTTTTCAGTCAAATGCTAGGAGACGAACACTCCACAGATCAGAGTTTGACAAAAAGGAGGCAAAGTTAGTTATCATCCACGCTGAATTAAGCTGCAATCCATTATGCCTTGTAATCATCTCCACTGGCTTTTCCTTCATATTGAATATGAGGGGTAATGAGAATGATCCCTATGCTCTATGTAAGAAAATTTAGGGGTGGAAGAGCAACCTTTATCCCCCAGAGGAGACATTAAAACATAGTTAATAGTATCAAAAGTTGCTTACAGAATAAAAATCAGTATGGAAATATTTGGTTTATCTTTAGCTATATGTGTACAATGTAAGTATATTAAATGCAGAATTTAAGCTATACAAAACAGTGTTATAAAATTATTAAAATCAGTTGTAAATACAAAAAAAAAATTAAAGCAACTGGATGGCTGACAGTTTTTCTACTTGAGTTTTCTGTAATATGGCACATCACTGTAGTACATAAGGGCTGATATTTGTATTTGCAGTAGAGTGATTTGGCAGTACATATTTATTGTATTTCATTTGCTTTATCGTTTTTTATAGTTTTAGGTGAGCTTGCACACTATTCAAATATAAACTTTTTGTAACTAAAAATTCACTTGTGTGTTTCATGTTAAAACTTTTCTTCAGAAAAAAAATCTCAATTACTCAGGAACATTGTCTATAATGGTAATTAGCTAAGCATTTAGGACTAAATCCTGTGTCTGCTAGGCTATATAATGCAATCGCAGCGTCGTCTTCTCATCTGGGAAAGGCTGATTCCCACCCTCCCAGGAACAGCTGTGAAAGTTGATAATTCTCATAGCTGACACAATGCTTTTGGTACCAGAGAATGATTTTAGCTGAGGCAATGTTTCTCCCTTTCCCCCACTGGGGTGGAAGTGACCTGAATGGGCTGGGCTGGCTTAACTATAAGAAGAGGGTGATGACGTCTGGGGGGCATGCTGGGGATGTTCACCTTCCAAAACATCAATCTATTTAAGCTGGGAAGGAAGAGCAGAAAAATACATGCAAACCCCCCTTCCCCCCCCCCCAGCCCTGGTCTCTCACCACCAACAGCTCTGTGGGATTACAGCAAGTGTAAGGCTGAAGTTCATGGACACAGCATTGTGAGGGAGAGGTGACTAGAATCTGTTCAGCTACTTCAGGTGTTGGGTGCTTCACACTTTGCTTCTGTTGAACTTTTCTGTCTCTCTTGCCACACAAGGCTCAACCATATGCAAGATCAGTCAATTTGGTACAGAGCTGTTTTTGTGGTGATAAAGGAACTTCAGTGCACCTTTATACTACAGAACTTGCTGTGATGATTTGGCCCATAGTTGACTGTGAAACCTAGAAGGGGAAAATGACCAACAAAAATCTATTATACTTTCCTGTCATATGAGCCTTGAAAACATTGCCTTTCTCACTAGAGAATCATTCCTGTCTTAATCTTATTCTCGGCCTTTGTCATGACATATTTACATAAGCCATGTTTTCCCCCAGAGTTTTACTAAACTAATAAAAATGAATAAGCAAGTCATATTTCAGTTACTTGTTTATACTGTTTAACAGTAATATAAACATTATAGACCAGTGTTTCTCAAACTGGGGTCGCCACTTGTGTAGAGAGAGCCCCTGGCGGGCCGGGCCGGTTTGTTTACCTGTCCCGTCCGCAGGTCCGGCCGATCGTGGCTCCCACTGGCCGCGGTTCACTGCTCCAGGCCAATGGGAGCTGCTGGAAGCGGTGCGGGCCAAGGGACTTACTGGCCACCGCTTCCAGCAGCCCCCATTGGCCTGCAGCGGCAAACCGCGGCCAATGGGAACCGCGATCGGCCGGACCTGCGGACAGGGTAGGTAAACAAACCGGCCCGGCCCGCCAGGGGCTTTCCCTACACAAGCGGCGACCCCAGTTTGAGAAACACTGTTCTAGACCTAGCAATATAGATAACATTTCTTTTTCTGATTTTCCTATCCAGCATGTTTTAATATCTTAGAATAAAGAATGATGCTTAACATTTCTTTTCTGCATCTTGCAGATCACCAGGAGAACCTCACTCTGAAAACATTGAAACTAGCCGAATGTAAGTACATTAAGCAGTAATTAGATGGGTTTTGTGTATTATGTTTAAAGCTCCTCTGGGCTAAATGCAACAGCAGCTTTTTGCAAAAATAAACCTTTAAGTGTACATTTAAAAACAAACAAGAAAATC